TTTTTTTTTTTTTTGGCTTCCTTTCTTGTGATTGATACCCTTATGATGTTTTATCTTTTACCCTTTATTTTTGCCTTTCTCTATAGAGTCAGTGTAACTTCATCTAATCAACTATAACAAAGAGAGGGAGGGGGAGAGACAGCAACAATGAGTGTAATAAAAAAGAAACCGCCGACGCCTCGAGGCGTCTGTAACTTGCAAAATCCGCCGGCCCGCATCCCATCATCAACGACAACAAAAAAAGCAAGAGATAAAAAGAAAAAAAGAAAGAAAGAAAATCTCGCCGTCAGAAAGCAAATAAATAACACAAAGCAAAAAGTAACAAACCAGCCTGGCCATCGATGCTTGACTCTGCTGTATTTTTCAACCTTCTGTCGGCCCCCGCGCGCTGAAATCCCGCCGCAGTCCGCATAGGCTATCCAGCCCAGCACGCTATCCACGACCTGATCCGCCCGGCCGAAGCCACTGAGCAGGCCAGCAGCCAGAGTCGGCATAAGCATAAGCATAATCAAGCATACGCAGGGCAGATCAGATCGACAGTCGAGCAGTCAAGCGGCTTGGATCTCCAGACTAGGCCAACGCTTCCCCCCGCGCACGCAAGCCACTAACTAACTCGTTAGTTAGCTTCGCGATGTAACCGACGAGACAGCCAGCCAAACGTCACCCAGGCGGGACTCAAGGACACGAAGCCAGAGACGCAAGCGATGCCGAAAGTCCAGGCCGAACCCGAGCTCCCTCCCTTCCAGCAGACAGATGGTGGGTTTGCGTTAGCCTCCCGACTGGTTCCTGACCGACTTCTGCCCGGCGACGGCGGCGGCGATGGATGAATGCCTGGCTGCCTGTCTAGGAATACGGACGGCTGCGCCCCGAGACAGGTATCAGGCCCTGCCTGCCTGCCTGCCTGCCTGCGCTGCCCTGCCCTGCTGGCCTGGCAGCTCCCGAGGCGCTGCCTTGGAAGAGCGATTTAGCTGCGTTGAGTGGGCGGCGGACGGGCCGAGGGACTTTGATCGCGGCCTCAAGGGAGATTATCAGACAAAAGATCAAAGCGCAGGACAGGCAGAGAGGATGCGGCCTGGCGAAGTGCCGTGAATATCTGCTTGCATGGATGCCCGCAGCTGCCTGATGGTTCGTCGTTGCTTGATCGTCGAGACCTTGGAGTTTCGCTACGGCCGGATGGTGTCTGTTCTCGCTCGAGTCTGGAGAGCCCCCTTATCGCCGGGCTAGC